ATCCCTCAGTAAACATTGTAAACCAGACTTTATGGTCTCAATCACTCAAACAAAACATAAAGCGGGGCATGCTTCAGGGCGGGGCTACCTTGTGTTTGACAGGGAGCTGTCAACGGCCTTTACGCTGTATAAATGAAGTCACTTCCATTCACTGGTTGCAAAAAGCCAAGAAGGCAGCGGCCATAATACTGCAGACTGCAGTGTACTTCTTACGGTCTATGACTAAACCAAATGTAATACAATACAAATGATGTTTTGCGGCTCGATGACCGCAGCTGGTCAAGGTTCCTGCTGCTGCGTCGTCTGATACGGACTTCGCAAGTTCTCCCTGCAGCAGTCTCCAACATCTAACCACCGACTCGTTGCTCCCAACTTCAAGTGCCGCAGCGCAATTCCCCTTTCCCATGGCCACGTCACTAGCCTTTAGTTCAAAAGCTGCATCGTACTGTTACGTCGTGTCTTAAACATGTTTATTAACCTCACCCTTATTTTCGCCTGCCGGGGTCAGAGTTGAGGTGGAAAAAAAGAAAAAAGTTGGCTTATAACCTGCATTTTACGGTAATTTAATAATATTTCACAGTACTCAATACGGTATTACCTCCTTTACTCCTGTATTAGCTCCTCTGCACTGGCTTCCTGTCAAATCAAGAATATCATTTAAAATCCTTTTCCTCTACAAGGCAGTAACTGGTGAGGCACCATTGTATCCTCAGGAGCTTGTAGTACCCTATTACCCAACTCAACTCTGCGTTACTTTTGATTCCTAGAGTCTTAAAATGTAGGAGGGGAGCCAAGGACAACTTGTTCTTAATGAACAAACTGGAAATCTGAAAACTGTGATAAATATTAGATTTATATGCATAAAGTGGTAATGATTGTCCTTTGATAGAAGGCTATTCTATCCGGATGTGTTCATGTCCCTGTTTGATCTGATTGTGTGTGTGTGTGTGTGTGTGTGTGTCTTTTTCAGGTAGAGGAGGAATGCAGGCCAGTGGGGACGAGTCTCTGGTGCAAATACACACTGCGTTCTGTACATCACAGTGCACCGACCACACGCTATCCACATGCAACCACAAGCACAAACAGCCAGCCTCCAAGGAGCTTGAATGTGCACAAAACATATACTAACATGCAACCTCAATGTGTGTCAAGTAACACACAGAAACAGACTCCCACATACATAAACACACAAAGTAACTCATCCTTCCTTCAGCGTGCACCTTCTAATCAAGCAGAGTTCAAGGGTTCAAAAAAATAAATCTTCCTCCGCTCAATCTCTATTTCTCTCTCTCTCCTTTCCCACACAGTTGTCGGCACAGGAGCCCCGCGATGAACCGCCTCCTCGGGTTGGCCTGTCTGTCATCGTGAGAGGCTGAACCGGCTCGTCTGTCAGCGGAGATGAAAGGGTGTTTATTGGACTGCTAGGTTTTAAACATGCCCCACATAGTTTATATATAAATGATTACGATAGACAGACGCGACGGGGCTTGACATAGACAGAGAGAGCGGAAACTGTCTGTGTCTATTGAGCAACTCAGTAACGTGTCAGACGAGACCACCTCACAGTGGGACACATCTTGTCGCTGGCTACTACTGCATGTTCGGTAAACTACTAAATGCCAGCCATTATACACCAGTCTGCGCATATACTGCTAACACTGATGAGATAACATGTGCTACTGTTGACATACATCCCCCTCCCGACAACACATACACACATATATATCCGCTTCAGCAGTAGATATTGATTAACTAAGTCTCAGAGACACTGCAACCTCTGCTAAAGAAGTTTTTTTAACTTTACTACATCCCTTGTTAAACAGGTTTAATTTTCTAGCATGTCTTCCAACATCGTTCACTAATTTTCTGTCATCCCATTTAAGGCTGACTATCAGATCTTCAAAAAAATCCTTAAATCTGGTCTGTTTAAGGGTTTGCCTCTGTTCCAACATGATGGGAGTGAACTGTAACATTAAAATTAAGTTAAAATGAATCTATGTCACTGTTCCACTGGCTAAACCCCAGCACAGGCTGTCAACGGCTTTCTTAACGTCTCACACTCGACTTGAACGGGTGTCTACTGGGTGAAAGTCCAGTGTTCGTTTGACCCATCCATCCACCTCAACCTATTCAGTTTTTTTTAATTGGAACATTTTTAGGAGAACAGGCTATTCTTGCGGACTATTTTTTAAATGTAAAAATATTCCAGGAAAAACTTCAGGAATATTGTGGTAATTACTCTGAGTAATGGGCATATTGGTTGGAGAAGGACACGTTGAAGATTAATGGAATGTTTCAATGCTGAGGACAGAAAACATCATTCCATTCTCCAGACAGACAGATAGTGAGACCCAGGCCTGAACATTAGAGGTCGGATAGAACATGTGCAGTATCTTTGGTAATGTGGGTAAACTTTGAGAGAGAATGGAAGCCATTTTTCCAGACAAAAGCACAACTTCACAGTGGTTGCTTTTTGTAAATTCTGCCTCAGCTCCAGAATGTTTAGTTTACTTTAATAAAATAAAAATGAATAGATTTTGAAAGTTCCCAGAGATTTCACGCAAAATGCAGGTTCTCCCACCTCCTATAAGTCCTGCACACCATGGTTGTGGTCTAGCTGAGGTACAAGCAGCAGCAGTAAGCAGACCCGATGTGTGTGTATGCAAAAGTGTGTGTCTCCCTGCCTGATGCCAGGTTGATAGGTACTGATTGATGTGCGCCGCCTGCTCTGTGTCTCTCAGCTCCCCTTAGCACTGATCCCCGCTCAGGGATTTATGAGGCCCAGGGGGCTGATCCACAGCCAAATTATGTGGGCGGGGCGCAGCTGGACTGCACTCCTATCCATCTTCTCCACTCAACTCACGGTCAAACACAAGAGGGGAAACTTTTCATTTTTCCACCAGCGTAAATGCCGGGTTCCGTCAGGACCACAAATCACCGCACACCGACAGAGTTGAAGTGTTCGCACAAGCTGCTGGGCTTGAACTTGACATCAGAGTGGCGGACGGGATGTTCTCCCAGCATGCAACTGTATAGTTACATGTCAGTCAGCAGACACTACTGCTGGAGGGACTTCTAAAGCTGAACGGAACCAACTATCAACCCCGAAATGACATCTATTAACGTGACTCTATTGGCCTCAATAAAGTCAGAAATACATACATTTTACTCACATTACTTTTGGTGGCCTGTGGGTGCTGCCATATCCCTTTCTGGTGTGTTTGCTTGCCAGAAGCTGCCATGAGTTGACCTTTTAGCCAGTTTGAAATCCTTTTTTTATGATCAGTTTGATAGATCTTAGTGTTTTTTACTTTGCATTAGAACAGGATGAAGAATTTGATAAATCGGACGTTATCACGGCTCTTGCCCCCACTAAACGGCTCATTTTGATCAAAACAATTATTTGTGAAACTTTTTTATTCAGTGTTTTTACGTGTTGAGAGGAGACCTGTGGTATAAACCTGAAAGCGTTGAAAAATGACTCTTGTTAAGGAGACCGAGGGACAACAACAAATCCCATCAAGCACTTTGAACAGCTCACAAAACTCATGCATATTGTTATTATATCAATTAAAAGATCCATAGCACCAGCAACTGCTTGCAACAGTGATTCAAAAGATGATGTCAGTCAGTCATCTCCGTGTCCTCTAGTCCTCTAGTTGAGTACATCTGCCAGTCTGCAGCTGGGTGGTGCTGTCTGTGAGTATTGCATGGGTGGACGAGATATCGAGCAGCATGGGCCTCACTGTTCAAACATATCAAAGTTTGCAGACGTGTCGTCTGCCTGCCAGACCTGAGACAGCTCCTTCTCCAGGAATTTACACACCTACATGTCACATTCTCTGAAGCTGAGTCCGCAAACACACACACACGATCCAGGAGACACACGCGCATCTACACTATTATACAATTTAAAAGATCCCGCTCACATTTAACAAGTCATTCCGTTGTGTCGTGACCTGCACCTTGTTGCTGTGAAGACTCTCATAACTCATAACTCCTTGCGTTACCATTTAATTATATCAGTCATTATATCCATAATACTGCTAATTAATAATATTTTTTGGAAACACCAGTAGTCATTGATGCAATATTGGTATTCAGTCAAAAGTATTGTGTGATCTTTGCTTACACCTACAGTACAAATCAGTACTGTACAAAATCAGTTCATTGAAGTTATATGAAGACATAAAGATGAATGTTACTTTGGTTAATGGATGAAAACAATAGCTGTGTGTTGAAATTAATGCAGTCAAAGGTTTATATGAAGCTAATTTAACGTTTAAACAGTTAAGAAGATCAAGTGGGTCTTATTAATGCTGATGTTTTTTAGTCTAAAATTGCCACTCTTGCGGTAGCCTTCTCCTTCAACCACTGTCATTGATGTCAGTGGAAGGCTGGTAGAAGAGGAAAAACGCTCAAAGGAAAAGTCAACAACAAGTGGCGGCAGTGACCGTGGCCGGAGCTTAGTGCGGTTGGAAGTGAAGCGGATTGCAGGGGTTGGGTTTGGCTCTGGATCACTTAGGTACCAGTCATAGCCTGCCCTGTACCTGTACCTGGCCTTGTGTGCATGCACAACGTCCTTAGTGATGCGTTGCTACGAAACTCACATTTCTTGGCATGACCTTCACCGCATAGCTGGTTGAGACATTTGGTTGAGGTTAGATATTGATCTTGTATGGTTAGGATCAGGAAAGCCCATTGGTCATGATTTGAACCAATAACGTTACCTCACAAGAGCAAAGATGCCTGGCGCTTGAATACTATGCAGGTTGAGTCTTGCCAAAGTACAAATAATACACATTCACGTGCGTGTGTGAGTGTGATGGGAGGTGGATTCTCTAACAATGATGGTACTTTTAACTGTATAACTTTGCTTAGCTTTTTGCGACACTGCTTGCATGGTAGTGACACAAAGAGATTATTTCACAATCTGCGTGAGACTGCGTTGGTAAAGCCGTGCTACTTGTATGTTCCCACACGTTCGTGTATCTACTGACCTTTGCATGTTTTGCCATCGGGCTGCAGAGTGAATCCCACGGGGCAGCTGCAGCGCACCCCTGTGGCCGTGTCTTTACACGTCCTGTCGCAGCCGCCATTGTTCACGGCGCAGGTTTCTGTAGGATGGCGGAACAGAGTTGGAAAGAGGGAGAGAGGAAAAGGGGGTGTTAACATGTGACACCCCCGCTTCGGAAGCAGTATGAGAAAGAAACAGGAGGGTGATGTAGATAGAGATAAAGCTTCATGCGGTTGAAAAATACACAAACAACTAAACAGTTAGATGAAATGTATTCTCGTGTTTTCTCATGAAGCTTTTTTGACACAGAGATGAGGAAATTACATCACAACACTTTTCATGAGTAGAAGCATTTTTTCTTTTGTTTTATATGGCGACAGATACAGTGTTCATACACACAGAAAGTGTCAATCAAGATGTGTTTATCATCATTACAAGAACACAAAACACATGACATAATACTGGAAAAGGAGGGTGAAGAAGTCTTTGGCCCAAAGGTTGGTCCTGTATCCAAATAAAAAGGAAGGGTTAATGTAATTAGATAGAATAATAAAAAGTTAGTGCAAGGTAGAGGGCTGTACAGTACGTCTAGAAGACACTAAGCAGAACTCTGATGTATCTTTTACTCCAGAAAGAAATGCCTTTGCGTAGTGCAGATAAAATGTTTGCTGGGACTTGTGAGTATCGCCTGAGCTGATCCCAAGACAAACACCAGCTCATGGTAACTCTAGCTCACCTTGTTGCTTTACTAAAGCTCAGCACACACTCTCCCAATGGGGCCCGAGAATTGCTGAGGAGGCTGAAATATGACATTGACTTATGTTTGTTTAAAGGGATTAAATAAGACTACACCTAATAAGGATGTTTCCGTTGGTAGCTGTTCCTCTTTTGGTAAATCTGACCAGTAATTCCAGAGGACATCCTAGATTTTTACCCAAATGGTCAATTTAACAATTCAAATTCTAAACAACAACAACAAATCAACAAAAATAAGTTCTTTATTTTCTACAAAGTTGACATTTGGGATTCAAAGGCTTTTCCTGGACAACAGAAGCAACTAAAGCCCCCTGCTTTTTGGCAGCTTTTCCCCATTTAATTAAAACAGCAGGAGATTGTGTGCCTAAGAGAAGTGAAGAGGAAAATAGGAAAAGCCCTTTCAGGCTGGCAAACACATCCATGTCCAGAGGTCAATGTATTAGCATATTGTCCTTTCAGAACGCAGAGCCCACAAACTGCATCGGAGCCAAGATGGTGGTGACATTCTATGGAGAAACAGGAAGGTGTTTGTGGATTTGTTTGTTTCTTTGCGCAGATCCAAACAACATCAATCCCACGGTTTCTTTCCTTAATCTCGGCTTGCTGGACGGCATTTGTTCCTCGCTGTCAAAGATCTGTGTTCAACCTCTCTCTCTCTCTCTCTCTCTCTCTCTCTCTCTCTCTCTCTCTCTCTCTCTCTCTCTCTCTCTCTCTCTCTCCACAGAAGAAGTTCCAAACTCTGTTTGGACGGAGAAGTGTTTTAGAATGAAGGCAGAACAGAAGTAAGACAGTAGACCCCTGTCTCCTCTCCACTCCTGAGCCCGGGTATTGTGTGGAAGAGAGTATTGCTTTTTTATTAACGTGAGGCTAAGTTCCGCCTGGCTGCACAGGTGTAAACAGTCAACAACTCTTTTTGTGTGTGTGTCAATCTACATGTGCATGTGGGTGGACTCGATGTATGCGGAGGTAGTGTTTATGGGTCAGAGTGATTTATACCGAGTACAGTTGGCCCTATCATTAGGTGAGTTGGGTAAGACCCCTCCGCCCCCTCTTTCTCTACAGGCCCTGCCCCAGTCCAGCCTCGGGCCCAGACTGAGCACGAGAGCACAGACGGCTGTGATTGATGTGCTGGAAGAGCCCCTTGTAACCCCCTAAGCCCCCTCTCCAAGCCTCTACACCTTCCATCTCACCCTGCATATTTCTTTCCTAGCCTGGTCTGTGTGTGCAACAACACATATTTCTGCAGGGGAATATTTCATTAGGAATGGACTAGGATGGAGTCAAACAACATCGTTTTGACCTTTTAGTTTATTGTCTTATAATTAATTGTGTTTCTTTGTAACAAATAACCGTTTTAACCGTAATCGAAAAACAAAAGGTAGCGTATAGTAATGCAGCAGCAGAGATGCCTTTAGACAAATGTCAGAAAGATTAAATGAAAAGGTTGAAAAGGTAAAAACCAGAATGTTTACAAATGAATAATATTTTTGAAACTATATTGGCTTGTAATGCATGCATGGAATTCGAAATTTGTTTTTAGGAGCAGCGGCCTCCTTATTTGTTAGTGTCTTGCTGACACATTGACATGCTTAGAGGAGGATTATTTGGATCAAACCACCGACGTCATGATTAAAGGACGACCTGTCCTACCCACAAAGCCATGCCGCACTAGGCAAGCTCGCTTCACACCAAGACCACGAACAGCCACTGTACATGCCGAGCGCAAACTAGAGTTCCCAGAATGTAAAATCAATTCATTTTAAGTCACATTGAAACAGAAGTTGTCTTCTGTACTGTGAGTATACCCTGATGAAACAAATTTATTTATGGCGGTTTCCAAAGCCTTTGCATTTGATTCTACTGCTAAAAAGGGGACTGTGGCTCCACACAGACCTCCCTTGTTGCTTAAAGAAGCATATTGATTGGTGGAGGGATGTCATGTTTTCTGCTGAAATTACTTGATATTAGCTTAAAGAAAAATTGAGTATGGGATTCATTGGCCAAAATCGAATATAATATTTGTGTTTAAATCATGTTTTTATCATCGATTAATATCACCTGAAAATAAGCATTGTGGTGGTTTTCGTATGGTGTTTTCATAAGCTATATCTTCCACTACCATGTACTAGCAGTCCAGGATGGACACTGACTTTCATATTTCATATCATCCAATGGTAGAGATGTGTTTATCTAGTAGTAAGCCGGCCCTTGTGCTAAATTACCGGAGTTAACCCCGACATTAATGGTTTATGTGTACTTTTTAATATTTTGATGTTATTCGTTCTCACGCTGCAGCACACATCGGCTCAGTTGTCTCTGTCGGAATGAGAATGTCAAACAACACACACACAAATGGACACAAACAAACACACACACAGCGCAAGCGAGAGGTCGCTGTGGTAACCAGGTGGAATAGAATATTTGAGAGCAACAAGCCCAAAACATATCAATATACCTAACGTATAAATAAAAGTGAAACCCACTTAAATCGGCTACCACTGCTATATTTACATGGGGACAGCTTTTTTGTAAATAAAATATCCCAAGTGTTATTCATTTTAGTGACATTTTTGTCAATAAGTGTTGCTGCTTGATAAACAATATATTTGCAATTTAATTTCTAAACCTGTTCTTAATTTATTTGTTTTTATTATTTAGTCATGTAGAAGAGCGGAGTAATAGCGAGTAGTGCACTAAAACCTACCAAAGTTGTTCAACAAGATTAGAAAGGTAGGGAGAGCGATGAGGGCTATTTAACCTACTTGCCCTTTAAATGAGCACATTTCTTTGAAGAGGGGGAAAAGATTATTGGATTTGATCTACGGCTGCCAATAGATTTTTTTTTTAATTAATCGTACATTTTGAAAATATTTAATCGTGATTAATTGCGACTATAATTTGTTTTTTCTTCTAAAGACTAAATCTTACAAGTAATGAGTAATCACTTTAGAAACCATGTATTTTAGACACTGTTTAATTGTATTTTAAACATAAAGCTACACACATGTGATCATCTTGCAGGCAGAATTCCACCGGGTGGAACATGAACATGTTTGTTGTGCTCTCAACTCTCCATCATTTGACGGCTGTGTTTGTCAACAATCTCCCGACATTTAACCCGGACGTTTTCCAAACCGCTCTCTGTTAGGGCAACAGAGGTGGTCCTCTGCAGACTGTGCAGAGTAGATGTTGAGATGGAAGTAGCCTAGCAGCTAGCTTAGCCTAGCAATGCATACAGTGGTCCGTTTACCACTCACCCCCCTTCTGTTTGACACGTAGACAGATTTCTCTGAACAGTTCTCCGCCATATGTCACGCCTCTGTTTGTTTTACTTCCAATGCAAAAAGTTCTCTCCATCTTCAGCTACCACCTCGCTCCCTCCTTTCTAACTAACTGTTAAAATATTTTATCACATTAATATTGGCCATATTAATCGCATAGATTAACGAGTTAATTTTGACTGCCCTAATTTTAACATTCAAAATATGAAGATTAAAAAATATATATATTTCTCCTTCCTGGGATGTCTAACACAGTTAAAACCTGTTCTGCTCAAGGGCCGCCCTAAAGGCCACAGAACAAAGTTCCAACTCGACAATTCTTTACTTATCACAAACAAATATAATAATGCTTCACAACTGTTTGAAATATTAGAGTCTACAATCACAACTTATCCATTTGAAAATGCTTCAATATCAACTCTAACAAGCCTTAACAGAGTTAGAAAATATCTTATGGAAATTAGTGCAGAAATTCTGCAAAAGGCAGTGCACATGTACAGCCATCGAAGATAGAAGCTAACATGAAACAAGGCAGCAAATCGCTAGCGCATTCGACGCTGACTACAGCATTTCCCTAAATAAACCATTGATATGGTTCTGATAATTGGTAATGAGAACCATATCAATCATAAATGGCCATTACCGTTTCCTTTTTTAACTGAAATCTTAATTTAATCTGCTGTTTTTTGAGTGTAATACGTCCAGCAGCCATGTTATGCGTCATACAAAATATTTCAGCGCTTTTCTTTTCTGGGCACTTTCTTTTTTTTCAAAGCCAAACATCACTGTTTGGCTTCTGAGTGGCTAAGGGAGTTGTCACTATTTACCACGTAGGGCTAGTCATATCCAATAGGCTCTGACGATAAAAAGGAGTGATTGAAACGTGCAAATCGGCCAACCACAGCCGGACTTGATAGACAAACTAGATTTTCACTCCTCCAATTTCTTTGCCATGAGGATTGTGTACTCTAGAGCCTCCATAGTGGTTCAACTTCACTCTATCAAAGTAAAACTTTCCATGATTACTGTCCACATACCAGGCTATGACTCAGATGAGTTTTTAGCATGGTATCTCCATGTTTTATAGGGCTGGATACCCTCTTAGTGACTTTTTTTGGGGGAAATTATAGAAATTAAAAAATAAATGGTGTGCCATCTTCTTGTATTGCTTATGACGGCATCTAATACTGCTTATTCTGTGGAATGAACTTTTGATTCAATGGAATTTCAATTCCACTGATTGTGTTGAACATATTTGATAAACTATGAAACAGACAATGAAGTAACAACAAGGAATTTCCATATTCCCTTTTGTATTTTGTCAGGATCACACAGTTTTCAGATTGTATCTGAAATTTAATTTTGGATACTTGATATGATAAAGAACAACCATCAGGCTCTTTGACTAGATAAAATGGAAGGGACCAATTTCGATTAGAGGAGTTGGGAAATATGAAAGCAACTGAACACAACTCTCTGCAGACGGAACAAGGGCGGCGACTCCATCTGTGGGGATTACAATGTGTCAGGAAGGGGAGGGAAGACATCAAGTATATACATGTCAGTCAGAGTCCTCGAATTGAAAACGCTGACCGCTCTTTCTGTGAGAGGTGGACAGACGTTCTATTGATTAAAGCTGGAGAGCGTGTGAGAATGTATACTAAAGTGTCGTGCCAAGCAGCTGCAACTGCTGCATTGTTGGGAGAAGGAGAGAGGGGCACGGTCACATGTCAGCGCTCAACAATATCCCCATTTTTTCCCTGTGATGGGCAACTAAATGTCGGTTAGCATAGCCCTGGCCTAAAATCGCACTGCATGGATACACCTCTATTGTGCACAGACACACCACAGCTAAGCTCAATCTGTCCAGAGGTTTATTTGGGTTTCGGGGCCACAAAACTGTACCACCACTGAGTCTCTATTTTGACACTTTGCTTACATGTGTCCAGCACCTGGCTCTTGGTTTTCTAGAATTCTACAACATGAAATCAGATTGCTTTTCATCAAGTCTCTCACAATCCCTCCCCTCCCCGCCCTTTCCCCTCCCATTCCCCGAGTCCTTCACCTACAGTCCTCATCTCAGCAGCGTCTTTTTGTCAAAGTCTCGCTTGCAGGTCAGTTTTTTCCGTTTTTTTACACCATGTAGATGGCAGCGGGGGCAAAGACATGAGAGCCGCATGTCAGGCGAAGCCCACAAACTGATGGCCATGTCAAATCTAACACACTGCTGCTGTTCAGGCTGCGCCGGAGCAGCAGTGTGACACCTTCCACTCTCAGCATCCAAACAAACAGCACTGGTCATTACATTGTTAGGGTTAGGGCAAGTATCCAAATACAATAGGACACCAATAAGCTTTTAATATTCAAGTTGAATATTACTACTGATACAAGTGAACAGGTTTTTGGGACACTGTATAGACTGTATGGACTTTTATATTTACAAATCACGCAGCACGCTACCATGCAAGCAATCCAGAGTTCAGGTTCTTGCCCAAGCACACTGTATTGTGATGTGGGGATCAAAGAAACCTTTAAAACAGTGGTTGTTGTTGTGGAGGGGTGGATTTATAAACTTGAATCTTGGTTGTGAGTTTTCTGTACTTTGGTCACAGTGAGCTGTTCATGACCTAGAGTGGGGTAGCCCTAGAACACTAGACGATATAAAGAAAAGGCTTCTACAATGGTAGAAAATTAAATATATAGTACTTAAAAAGCTCATGAAGGGAGGAGAGAGAAGGACAGACAAAATCAAGTATTCACTCTTCCTCCACACGGGCCAGAACCTGCTGAAGTCAAATGTATATATAAGAATGGAACTGGTTTGATAGACAACAAACTTTAGCACATCGGTTTCAGGTACTAGGGCACTGGGAGGAATTCCAAAGTACCGCTCTCTCAGAAAATAAAAGAAAGGTTACATTTGAAACAGGGAGGTAGGGTTTCAGAAAAAGCACAACTTTATATAAAAGACTCATTTGATTATGTCTAATTAATCTGATTGTAGGAAAAAGATTAATTTATGGAAAGATTGGTTGAACATCTAAAAGCAATAAGTGGCAAGTTTCCTTTCCTAAGGATCCAATCATGGCCTGCGCAGTTTTTTCATCCTTTGTAGCAACAGGGTTTCCGTAGAAAAGCTGTTAGAACCAATGGCAAGTACCTTTTGACCGGGACAGACTACTGGCAGCATTAAGGCACGGCTTGCTGAGCATAGATTTAACAGCGGTTGCATTGAACATATAGAGGACTGACAATTACGCTAGCTTAGCATTAGCTAGATAGCAACCTTGGCCAGTTACAGAGTACCTGACTGTTACATACAGATATATGTCAGAGGTCACTGATGAGCTGTCCCACCATTAAATTACAACTTGGTCTCACCTAGAATCTCTTACGAGAGTCAGTCAGTGTCCCTCCACATCTGACACCAATTCCATACACTTTCAACTGACACAAATCTAAACTCACTACCATCAGCATTATTTGACCCTTGGAGCAAGTGTATAGTTTAAGGACTGAAATAGTAAGGGAGGTTGGATGGGTGAGACAGACACGGGACTATTGACAAGGACACCAACTTTCCTGTTCTAAATTTCTAGTCAATCTCTAATGATGTCAATATTAAAGGACCCATCGTGTGCCCATTTTACCACAAGTTGATATGTTTCCTTGAGGTCTTTATGAAATGTTCGTAACATACTTTGGTAAAAAAAATACCACAAGGATAATTTAAAACAGCCCCCTTTTTACCCTGTCTAAAACAGCCCTCTACAGAGTGACCTGTTTTGAGTGCTTGTTCCTTTAAATGCTAATGAGCCAGCTCCCCCCTCTTCACAGGATGCGCTCGCCTAGCTGTTGCTCGCGTAGCATATTTGTCCTCCTCTTTGGAGTTGTGCTTGGACTAAAGAGCCGCCCCCGCCCCCCGCCGGCCGTACCCTCCAAAAAAAACCCTGAAATGCGTGGTCACCCTAGTGCAGATCTGTGCCGCCAACCACAGTGCATCTTTAGGGCTTCATTTGCTTCATGCTGCTAAGTAGCTATTCCAAGTGTATCCGAGATTTGCAAAGTGAAGTGCTTTGGCAAATATCAAATCTATAGTGAGTGTAGGGGTGGCGGGATGGGATTGACGAGGGGGGGACTCCCATTTCATTGTGACGAAAGAATAAGGAAGCTCATTCGCAGTCATTCAAGCATGCCGTTTCTGACATACAAGAACCATAACAAATCGCGGGAGTTGTTTTTGGGTCGGTAGACATGGCAGAATTTTCATATGTCCCCTCTTAAGATATTTCTAGTTATTCCAATCGTTATGCAATCTCTAGTCACAGGATTTTTGAAGCATCAAAAATCAATATTTATTATGTTTCTAACAGTCAGCCCACTGTGATTGTAGTTGTAAAAACATAATTACAATGAATAAATCAATTTTAATCGCAATTAATTGCATGATTTTTTTCGTGATTAATTACAACATTTTATTATTAATTCAAGTATTACGCACTTGCAAGGTACAAATAAGGTGCTTTTTAAAAGCAGCATCCCCTTAACACAAGTTAAAATATGGTAAATCAGAAGTTACATTATAAAAGGCACGTTTAATTTTTTGACAAATTTACTCTTTTTATCTTTAGTTTCACCAGCAATCTTCCCACTAAAAGACTAGACATTGATATTTTAAAAGACCTGAAGATAAAAGTGTTGGGAGAAGAGAGCTGTTTGGTCTGTTTGGGTTGTCCGGTTTACACACAATGCCTGACAAAAAACTCACTAGTAAAGGGTAATCGCCCTAACCTGCCCTTCTGCGGATTGTGGTTTTGAGAATATTCAACCAAGTGCAATGTAATAGTTCATGGTGTAGTTCTGTAATCTATGGGGCAAGTTGGAGACGGAACCCCTAGATGGGTTTTGTTTTGTTGCAGGCATCTTGTTTTTGCTAAATGGGTAATGAAAAGGGAGGGGAATGGAGCACAAAACATTTGGATTATGGTGCAACTGTGTGTATAATTGTCAGTCATTGAGAAAACCTCCATCCAGAGATTTAGTAGATAACATAAGGAAGGACCAGTTTTGGAAACAGGGACTTCTTCTGCTCCGTTTTCATCCCTTTAGACAGTGTTGCAATAAAACGGACTGTGGCAAACACAGTGGGCATCAGAGTTTAAAAAAATAAAAAATAAAGATTTACAAAATAACGACAGAGAGAAGAGGAGGAGGAAGAACGAAGAGAAGTGGAGTCTGGGATACAAGCACAAGCGCCATGGCAACATATAGAAAGAGGAAGAAAAGAGTTACCCATAAGTAGCCGCCGTTTCACCCGCTTGTCCACATCAGCTACTGACGTGGCATTGAACTCAGAGCTCTCAATTGCAGCCTCATCTTTCTCTAAAACACAAGTGACAAGGGGACAAACAGTGAGCAGCAGGTTAATGAGAAGCCCAAATGACCAGTCCTTCAGCCCCTCTTGGCGTTTGAGCAAAATAAAAATTAACAAAGCCAAAAAGCAAAGAAGCGATGAAGAAGCGCCAAAATCCCGGTTAGAGTGTTAATCCCCAAACAAATGATAAATCCCCCAGAGCAAACAGAAGAACAAAACAAAATAAATGAGATTATCAGTATCAGTGTGTAGCTTACAAAATGAAGCGGTAGGTAGGGAAGTTGGTAGGTAAGGAGGGGAGGAGGTTCGGGGCTTACATATGTAGAAGTCAACAAAAACAAAGATGGTTAGAGGTATTTGGGTTTGGAGGATGAAATGGGGTTGAGATGAACGTTAACATCTGATGTTACTGTTGTTGCTGATGGAGTGTCTGTCTTCCAAATCAAACCATATTTTGTCAGCAATGATTCCCTTGCGTTACGATTGAGGAGGAATACGATAAAGAGAGGGAGATAGAAAGGGAGGTGAAGGTACTTGTCTAACATTTCCGAGACAAGCTTTCTTTGAATGTGGGAACAGAGAAGGAGGGGAAGGAAAAGGGGGGTTCGGTGATGAAAGGGTGGGCCAGGGGAGGAGGATGAGAGGTCAAACGACAGAGGGAGATGCTTGAAGGGTTGAGCAAGATAATCGAGAGGGAATTATGAAAAGAGTAGGGAGTAAGAAAGAGAAAGGGAGAGATAGAGCAAGGGAGAGAAAAATGAAGAAAGACAGAATGACTCCCATCATGGCCGTCAATGGGGTATGTGAGGAAAATAGGGGTGCACACACTGAGAAATGGGGTTTAAAGGGGGAGTGTAGGGAGGGCATGCAGAGACACAAAACAAAAAGCAGGAGGAGGTTGTCTGGGGGCAGCGCTGGTTGCCTGTTTGTCTATGGAACACATCCCAACTGGCTTTGACAGTCAACGATGGAAAAACCACGTTCCCAAAGCTGGACAGCAGAGGTGGTGGTGGTGGGGGGGGGGGGCTGGAGGGTGAGGGGATTGAGCGGTGGGCCATGGTGAAAGAGGAAGGATCACTGTTGAAATAACGATGCGTGTGGTGTGGCATAGGGATGGTGGGTTTTTGGCAATGGCGGGGAGGGAGGCAGCCTTTCATTGGGGCCTGAGTCATTAAGGCCTGAATGAGCATCTCTTTGTAAAAGGACGGCACTTGTCGCTATAGTACTGGGCTTTGATGTATACACACTATGGGCTGTGAAGGGGGGAGCGAGGGAGGAGGGTTCAAGGAGTAATTATTGTCCCATTCCCGGGCCTGGCCCAATACCGTTTTCTCTCTCTCCTCTGAGGTGCTTCATGGACAAAGTGGAGGACTCTCTGAAGTACACTCGGGGAATGAATGGAGGCTTTCTGGTGCTCAGCTAACGGGTGAAATGTGGCTATGTGAATGTAGGTGTGTGTGTGTGTGTGTGTGTGTGTGTGTGTGTGTGTGTGTGTGTGTGTGCATACCAGTCTGCATGCTTTTGAGCGTCTGCTTTCTTGAGTGTGAGAGAGAGAGAGAGAGGGTTGGATGTGTAAGACAGGTTGTGAAGTGGGGAGTCTACTCGGCTAAGCATGGGTTCAGGGAGGGTGGGGTGTGGGTAGGGGCGGGGGGCTTTAAAGAGCTGGACCTACACAGGACGAGGAAGGGGGTTAAATCATGAGGAGAATGTTAAAAAAATGTAAAAAAACAATGCACAAGGTCCAGGGGTTGCTAAAAAACAACAACATCAAAAAATGTACTGCAAATTCCAAGGAAAAATGAAAGGGAAACCATACAAATGCAGCGCAGGCTCTCCCATGCAGCTGGACACGCAGACAGGCAGGCAGACAGATGCAGATTAGTGGAAGACGCTGTGGCAGACGATGTGGAACACATAAATAGACATGCAGTAGAAAGCAGGGTGCAAGTCCCTGCCTCTCTATAAAAGGTGTGCGGCACAAGAAAGCGGGCTGATGGGATGAGGATGAGGTATGGAGATTGCTTTTCCAGGGTTATCCGACAAGTCGCTCTCTTTTTCTTTTGTTTGGGACTTGGTAGAGGATGAGGAGTTAGAGAGATAGGAGGTTGAGGAGGAGGAGGAGGTTAGGTTTTTGGTTTCTTTGTGAGCTTGACTAAGATCAGGCTGCAATTGAGATGTCCGTTTTTGACCACAAGTGCCCCTCCCCCCACCGCCCCGAACCTCAATCCCTCCCAGAGTCACTGTCCTCTTGTGCACTGAGGATTTATCCTTTAAATTCACCTGGTTTGGTTTTAACACGGATGCTCAGACAAGACAGGCAATCAGGTACTATCACCAGAAAGCAGCAGGGGAGAGAGAAGGGGGAGGGAGGAGAAAGGAAGAGCAGAGGGACAGCGCTAAACAGAAAGGGTAAAAGGAAGGGTGGTGGGAAGGGGGGATTCAAGGTAGGTCCATAAAGCAGTAGGGAAGCCCAGACCAGAGATACTGAGGTTGTTTCACTTAGTATGAAGAGAGTGAGAGAGAGAGAGAGAGAGAGAGAGAGAGAGAGAGAGAGAGAGAGAGAGAGAGAGAGAGAGAGAGAGAGACACACACAGGACTTTGGGAAAGGAGAGGGTGGAGGGTTCCCTCTCGTTCTGCTTCCTCTTCACAGCCTTTCCTTGGCGGTGTTTTTCTTCAAATCATGCTGGAAACAAGAGGGGGTTATTGGCAATCAGGACCATAATCAGCTCAAGTGGTGAGGGTGAAAGAAAGAACACAACAAAGATAGAGAGAGAGTGATAGAGAGGGAGAGAGAGGGAGAGAGAGAGAGAGAGGTGTGTTTCCAGTGTACAAACACAGCAGGAGGTACAGCACATCAAAATAACAGCAGATAAATGTGTGTTACCAATAGCTTTAACATCGCACTGAGGTCTTTCACAGTTGACAATGTGCTCTGAACTGCTTCGGTGATCTTTCTATGAACACCTTTTGTGTATTAGGTGTGAATTCTTGAAGAAACGGCCAAATCAGACATGAGCCCGGACTATGGTTTGGTCTCGGTTGTCTTTGGCACGCTAAACTTTCCTGGTTATATGAATACTGGCTGTCACAGGTTTCACCAATTCCTTGATTTTTGAGTGATTCGTTTGGATTGTCTCCGTACTCCTGACAAACCACACAACATGTTGTTTAGAAAAGGAAAGACTTCTTTTTTAGGCGTGTTGGTGGCACCAAGCGACTGTTTTGTTATTTTCCCAAATGAAATAAACTGAACCCCTTTGCTTCCACGTAAGAGTGTTACAGTGTAGGCTCACCTCGTAACAAATAGTTATATTATTGCACTAGTGTAACGTCTGTCATGCGTTAAATGTGGTGTCATTAACAGTGCTTATTAATGCTCTTACCCGAGCCCATTAAGAGATTTATTAATACCGTCGAATTGATAATTCCAACGGAAACAAACAGGAATGTTCTGACTCCCACTTCAGACTCACTTACTTTAGCCACTTGACTATAGCTAAGTATATCATGTTACTCCTTGTTTAGATTAGGTTTCTGAAAAGATGAAGGTATGACATTAAATAACTTTGATTGTAGGTAAGTAAGATAACTAAGCTATGTGACCCAGCTAATTTTCCCGCATAAGTAGGTTATATAAGTACGGTAGACAATTTAAAATAAGTCATTGTTGAGTTTTGGTTGCACTCGGGACACAAAAGGTGGTTGAGACCTCTGATAAGAATGCCTCCTGGACGTCTCCCCTCTAGAGGTTTTCTAGGCATTTCCAACTGAAAAGAAACCCTGGATTTACCCAGAACACGCTAGAGAGGTTACCGATCTGGTCAGGCCTGAGAGCGCCTCAGGGTTCCCCAGGTGTAGCTGGAAAGCGTTGCTGAGAAGAGGCCATCGGGAACACCTACCTACCTAGCTTCCTCTTGTCCGGGGCCGGTACAGTGGAAGCTAATGGATGGATGATTTGTTCCTTTACCTGTTTCAAAAATATTAGAGGCCACTAGAGGTCCTCCTTAATGTCCCAAAGTGGCCTCCTTGTTTGATATCTAGCACCATTGATGAAACATTTGTTTGTGACAAATTGGCGGCGAGAATGTGCTGGTTTAACAGCCAGAATAATTGATAAACCTACACACTACTAAAATCAACACAAAACCGCTAGACATTTAGTTCTGCTTTACCCCATGAAATCAAAGCTGACCAAAAATAATAAATCATTTCTGAAGCAGTGTCCAAGTGCGCAATGGAACTAACTGAGATTGTGTCCCGACCAGAAGCAAAGACAAATGAAACCAATATGATAGCTAGAATTCTGATTAATAGAAATCTGCCACTGACCACCTTCAACATTAGACATCTCACTTTCTTTTATCAGCTGAACTGTGTGTAAAAGGTTTTAAGGGCTTTCTATCAACACTTGTTACTGTCGAACAGCTGTGGGGGGTAAACATGTGTTAGTATATGTGTGAACTGGGAAGCCGTCTGGGCTGTCACTCACCGATGCAGGTCTTGCTGTCTGAATGCAGGGCATACTTCTGGTGGCAGCCGCATACTGGACCTGTGTCCGTGTCGTCACAAGTGTGCTGGCAGCCGCCGTTTCCATAGTTACATGTCACTAGAGACAACACACACACATTCGTTGTTCTCTTCTGTGCAAAAAAAGAAATCAGCTAAAACTTGGTGTATGATGATTAGTCAGTGCCTTCCAGAATGAAATCTGGTAAATAAAACATGTTTTCTACATTTTCATCTGTATTGTTAGCTTCTTGCTTGGGAACAAAACCAACCCAATTAGTAAAAGTGAAAGGATTACTTTGATTGTATCGCTACTATTTCTATCCTATTACTTCTCCTTGAAGGTAAAAAGGGAATGAAAGCGCTCTTCCTAATATTCAGGAAGGAAGGAGGCGAAAGAGGATTTGGGAGTCCAAAAATAGACTAGTGGAAATGGACAGAGAGGAGAAGGTAGGAAAGATGTCAGCAGCTATGTGTGTGTGTGTGTACCCAAAACTAGTATTTCTTTCATCGCTTGTTTACTACCGTCCAGTGCCGCTATGCCTAACAGGCCGGCACAGTACTGGATCCCTCACCATTAATTCATTTTACCACTGCGGGTGATTCATTGGAGACTTTTTAAATGCTTTCACAATCTTGACACTGATGGGATGAGAACATGATGTGTTGCCAAACACAGTGTAACTAAAAGCGAATCCCCCCCCCATAAAAACAGCAACCCTAAATTCCATGGCTGCAGGCTATCGGCATGAAGAGTGAGAAACAGGGATGGAGCTCAAGGGAGGAGTTTGAGAAGTGAATGTTCTCCACTGAATCCTTCAGCACCTGAAGCTTGGCCTGAAAGGCTTTGCTAAATGTTCGTATTAAATGTCCACCCTCATATTTTACAGTTGAACGCTTCCTGGAATTTGTCCATCATTGATATTACAGATGTTGATTACAGAAACAGTTTAGATCCCTCATTGCAACAGCAAGCAACCTCAATAAATCTAAGTCTATAAAGCAGCCATGAATCTCGCTGCCGTGTGAGTTTTAAAATAAAAGTTAATTCTGGACACGTTGTAGACTTATCAAAACACACCGTAGTTTCATTGCAGATGCATTTCAGAGACATTGAAGATGCACACACATCGCAGACACATCATCGGCGGATTGTAGACGTATTGTGGACACATTTTAAATGCATAGCGGACACATCAGACTTATTACAGAAGACTTGCAAACACATTGTAGATGAATTGCAGGAAAATTACGAACGCATTGCAGACACATCATACACTAATGAATCACGGTTACTTTAGGAGGGATTTTTGATATCTTACAGCACTGTCTTGCCACATGTTTTGTTGACAAAATGTCAAGCCCATATCGCTGTTCAGTGTAGACCTATTAGCATAGTGATCTGATCCTTTCCAACGTTGAGAATTGAAAACTTTGGTTAATGGAACAAATATCCTTGAAAACTACATAAAAACCAGAGACCAAAGGTTGCCCTCAAAGCCCACACTTGTGGGTGTGTGCGTATGTCTGTGTGTGTATGTCAATGTGGGAGTGTAGGACAGTACGGAGGTAAAGTCAAGTGTGTGATACGTACATGTACAATCTTTTTGGTTTTTGGCCAGCTCAAAGCCAGGACGGCACTCGCATGAGACCCCGCCTTTGCCTGGTGCCTCCCTGCAGATGTGGGCGCAGCCGTGGGCCTTGTTCATGCAGTTCATCCCGTCTGCGGAGGGGACAGGGAGACAGAAACAGAGAGCTGTGGAACGTTTGTCTGATGGTACAGAGGTGATTTCAGCTGACACATCATCATCTCTACTAGCACTCTTGAGAAATCAAATATCAAAAATCAAAATATGAAGCCATTTATTGCCACAATAATGTAAAATAAGAAAAAAATTTACAAGCAGAAATTAGAACAATATTAATAGATGAGATAAGTACCTAAACACGTATGTATATGTTTCCATGGTGAAAGAACCACTTGTGATGGAGTATTTGGGGACTCGGACTTGGTTCACGAGACCAACTGCTAACAGGAAGAAACTGTTTCTGTGGCGAGAGGACTTCTGCTAGAGGGAAGGTGCTCAAAAAGTTTGTGTCTGAGGTGAGAGGGGTTGGCAACAATCTTTCTTGCCCTCCTCAAAGTGCTGGAAGCCAACAAGTCTTGGAGGGATGGAAGATTGCAGCCGATCACCCCCTCTCACACGCTGCAGCCTGCCCTTGTCCTTGGCTGTGGCTGCAGCGTAGCAGACAGTGATGGAGGAGCAGAGAATGGACTCAATGATGGCCGTGTAGAGGTGCACCATCATCGTCTTTGGCAGGTTACGGTTCTTCAGCTGCGTTAGGAAGAACATCCTCTGCTGAGCCTTCCTGGTGATGGAGATGATCTTTAGCTCCAACTTGAGGTTCTTGGGTATGATGCAGCCCAGGAAACGGAAGGAGTCTACAGCAGTGACAGGGGAATCACACAAGGTGATGGGGAAGCATTCTTTTGTAAATCCACTACCATCCTGGAGTACAGGAAAGTGTACAGGAAAGAGTACAGAGGAAAGAACGCATTTCCTGGGAGGAACCGGTCATGATGAACCAATAGGCTGAGACTTGTTTCCACAGCTTCCCATGCTGCTTCCTGTCAGAGTGGAAGTCTGTGATCCACTTGCAGGAGAAGTTGGGCACGTGCAGCTCATTAAGTCCTGTGATCCTTGTTTTTGGGGGGGACAGGGATGATGGTGGACGTCTTGAAGCAGGCTGGCACACACGGTAAAGATGGAGACAGCTGATCAGCAGAATGCTTCAGGATGGAGGAAGAGACAGAGTCTGGGCCAGCTGCTTTCCGGGGGTTCTGTGATTCAAATATCCCATTGACGTCGCTCTCCAGAATAGAGAGAGGTGTCGATGTGATGCAGGATTTGGGTGGTTGTTGGGAGGCATAGGCCCCTATAGTGCTGGGAGGGCGGGACTTGGTGGTGTGAAGGCTGTGGATGGGTTCAGGACTGCTCCTTTGTCTTTCAAAGCGTCATTACAGATTTCTGTGGATGGTGATTTTATCTGATGGTGGTTATATGCAATGGTTATTACTGCATATCGGATAGTGGTTTTATTTTATGGTGGTTGTTTCTCCAGCGGTCCTGCCTTACTACTTCCAATATATGACTTAATTTCTGTCATATGAATGACGGGGTAAAGGGTACACAGAATCAACTTAAATTATGTACATAATTTACGTTGATTCCGTGTACCTTTGCTTTCTGTCCATCCCGGGAGAAGGATCCCTCCTCTGCCGTTGTCCATTAGGTTCTTCCTTTTTTTCTCCCGGTTGTTGTGCCAATGTCAGGGTTTTGGGACAGAGGATGACACGTGTAGAAACTGTAAAGCCCTTTGAGGCCAATTTGTACTTTGTGAATTTGGGCTGTGCAAAATAAAATGAATTGAATTGGAATGAACCTGAGGAACCGAGGACTTTAGGTTTCTTCCTAATGTGCAAACACTTTAAGCAATTACACTTTTTCACTTTTTAGCTGTCACAGATCAACGCTTCTTATCAGGACTGACACAATCTGCCGTCCCTCCTCCAACTCGGCTGATCCCGCTTTCTCTTCATTCATTCACCTGAGCCTGTTTAATGTGGTCTCCTATGCTGGTGATTTATTGAGCACACTGGAGCAATTAATGTAAAAAAAAGCAAACGGAAGAAGAAGCCACCCAATGATATAACTGAACTGTGGGAAGAACTTGAAAAGTGTGTTTGCTGGTGTGCGCATGTCTACCAACCATCGTACAATTATATCACTTCACTTCTTCTTTCAGAAAAGTGTGTATGTTGAATGTGTTTGCGTATGAGTTGTGTTACACTCCAAGCTGTTCAACGTTCCGTTCAGCATCTGATACTGACACACTACAGTATGCCATGTGTTAAAACTGTACGTGTCTTGAGAACAATAAAGTTTATGTTGAAAAAACATACGCATGTACTGAAACACCATCCCAGAAACGTCCAAAACTAAAACTAGATCAGGTACTTATGAGGGTCATGGTGGAAGAATTGGGCAACTGACCGAGGCAATGTGTTTGACAAGATGGGAGTGACAATTTGAATCGCTCCTCCATCATGTGAACCTTGAGGGAACACTTCAGATCTCATGCCAATCCATCAAATTAGGTGACGCATCAATGCACTTCTTTGGCAAGACACAATGTCAGGAATCTGTCTCCTCAGGGACAAACAAATTAAGCAACGGCAAAACAAGATGAACTCCCCTCAGAGGACATTACTGTTGCCAAGACAATCATCATTTAGTTTCTCTGTCCTCATCTTCTGTTCGTTGCCAAATAAAAAATAGAGTATCCTGAGTATTCCAGGATTTTATTCATTTTGTGCTGGCTGGAGCTAATGTTCATTGGTACATCCAAGATTTTGACATCCCTTCAGGTTTGTAGCACTATCATTGAGGGATTAAGTTACTGCAACAGCTACAGTACTGGAGCTGTACGTCGATCGTAGCTGAGGTATTTAGTGGTTAGGAATGTCAGGTACACTTATGTGTTTTGGTTCAATATTACAGCCTGATACTGTGACCAAAGGAACATGATAATACAATCCAACGAATACAAATTACTTTAAATGCTTAAAAGGTATAATTTGAAGGACTTTCTAAAAGCAATACATAGACGAAAACTATACCCCCCCAAAAGCACCTATGACATAGAGATTTGTGACGGAATCTGTACAAGCTACTACATCACCCTCTCTAGGCCTAATTTAACATATTATTCCCTCTGCTTCGCTCTTGATGGTGCAAGGTCTGCAGAGGTGTGCATCTCTTTATTTGTGCTTTGGAAATTAAATTGATTTAATTGGAAAATACCACATCATTTCTCAGATTGGCAGCTTTGTTCTCTCAAATGCTGGCTGTTCTCTTCATTCACTCTAGCTCGCTCGACTATAGTTGACATCTCTTCCTCGCTCGCTCGATAAGCCAAGGGGCAATGCTGGATAGTTTATAGTAAGAGCAGCTGTTGACAAAGCAGGAACACCATATGCCAAACAGCCGTTGTGAACATTTTTGCACGAATCCCCATCATTATTTGATGTGTCTAAATTGTAAATTTGCCGAACATCCTTAACAAATCTGTATTAATCCAAACATTTAGATATCAAAAAATCACTTTGTATATGTTGTTTCAGATGAGAATCCAAATGATGGGGTCGACGTGGCGCAGGGGTAGAGAGGGTGCGCCAGGAACCGAAGGTTCGAGCCCTGGCGCGTCCATGGCCCATGTCAAAGTGTCCCTGAGCTAAACACCTCACCCCTTATTGCACCCCGGGCCATGGGTTAAAAATGCAATGTAAGTCGCTTTGGATAAAAGCGTCAGCTATATGACCTGCAATGTAATGTAAAAATGGAAATGGATATTATTCAAATAAGTACCATGGTGAAGATTAAACCTGCAGTAATTAGCAAGGATTTCAACTTCAAAGAATAACGTGTAACAAAATTAATAATCTAAAATTTTAATTTAAAAAATGGATGTCTGATAAGCACAACGTTGTATTTGGGCCACTGTGGTTCGGGGTGATAATCTAGAGAAAAGACACGATATTAAAGTATACATTCATAAGAAGAAAAACTTTGAGATTAAAGGTGATACAGGAGAAAAACTCCAAACCAAACCAAACAACCAAAATGCTTAATATTTCAAGGTTGGATTAACCCTAGATGACTTATTCCTACCATATTCTATTCGGTGCCAAGACTTTTAAGAGAAATTTGTGGTAAATTTAAAGCCCTGACATATTCTCTGAATATTACACCCCTCCCTTGACTCTGCAATGTATTTTTTTATTTTTACCAACAATTACCCGAATGAGACGTTGTAGATAAGAAATCAGTGGGATCCTTATTATATATTTACTCCTCAGTATGTCCAGCAGTGTGATAGGACTTAAAAAACTGGTCCAAAGAAACACCCCTTCCCTGGTCACCATACTAAATAGTCTTTCTTCATGGGGCCCAATAGCGCTTCAAGTACCTCATTAGAGTGCCATTCCTCAAGGAAGACCCTTCACAAACAATAAGTCTTTTCTTAAACGCTACCATTCTAGCTGTCTACTCCAACGCGACCATTCCTTGAAAGACCCAAATCAATGTATCCAAAGGAAATTGCGCATTTACATGAATAACAATCTGCCCCAGTGTTCAACATTATATAATGCAGGCAATATATTTCAGTTAACGTTCAAAATTTGTGCACAGTCAAAGTTAGATCATGTAAAACCCAGAAGACAAGCAGCGGGTAAAACAACTTTAAACAGTTTGCAATAGAGTGCGATGACCCTGCTTGAAAACCAAACCCCTAAGAAAGCTGAGTATCTACAATCAATTTAAACCTGGGTGAAGTCAAATAAATGGAGGCGGTGGATGCAGGCCGGCACAATCAAGCCTAAAGCAACAAACCCAAACTGTGGCCTCTTGAGGGGCCTGATGTGACCAGGCAGTGAGGGCGAGGGCGTAGAGCCGGCAGCTCACCAACACGTTTACTCATCAGAACAGCATAGGCCACATGTGTCCCTGGATACATCTGCATCCAGATCTGATTTTGAGCCGCGTTCAGCTCAACGGCAGCGTTGTCCTGACATTACACAGGCAGGGACGCGCAGACACAAAAGAAGCAGATATAGAAGTCACTGACTGTTGATGCACAGCCCAATACCTGCATCATTAC